CTCTGATGTTAATGGAATCATACTTAAAAAGTCTCAATTATTTCACTTGAAAATTTTTATTCCTATAACTAAAGTCAGTGGTGTAAAGCAAATGTTTCATTGGAATATTTTAGAACTTCAATACGACTTAATTATAGTTAAATTATTGCTTCTGTGTTAAGAAGCACAACACTTTATGCACAACAGATTATTACTTTACCAAATCTACCTTTTCTTTACTTTGGCTTTCTGTCTTTATTAACGTGGAATTTTTCACTTGCAAAATTTCACACGTACCTTGAGATTAGAAAATATTTGAAATAAATCCTAGAAAATACTAGTGAGCATACAGAATTTAAAATACTCATTATCTCACTGTCTACTGATCATATTTTGTACATATATTTTCATAATATACACATTTGCATGCATTTAACACATGTATTATCGACATTCAGAATACAGTTTGGTAAACTGTATTTTTAATACATCATTATATCATGCACACCTTTCTGTGTTAAATATTTAACTACTGTGTAGTATTTAATGACTATAATATTCTATGTATGGCTTCATCATATTCTATTAACTATAACTATGTTGGTCTCTATTATAAACAACATTCAAATAACACACTTATTGGTAAAGCAAAATTTTTGAATATGTCTTTAATAATTTGTTTCATAAATTCCTAATAATGCATTTATTGGGTTAGAAGGAATGTATATGTATTTTGGGATTTTTTGGATATGTAACTTTTTTTTTCTATAAAATTTACCAAATTGTCCTTGTGTATCAGTGCATGAAATGACTGCTTCTTGAGAAGTTCACCAACACTGAATATGCCTTTCTTTTTCTTTATTTGGAGGTTGAAATATGCTATGAAATATATTTGGGGGTTGAAATATGGTAAAAAAAAACTTTATTTTAATGAAGTTTCTTTACTTATTGTTCTGTGTGTTATTCTTTACCTCTTTTATCCAGTTTTCTCTGGAGAAATGCTTTGAATATTAGTGATAGTAAACTCTTTGTCACATGCGTAATAAATGTTGTTATCAGTTTATAATTTGCCTTTTAATTTTCTTCACAGCAGTTTAAGTCTTACATAATTCCCCTTTTTATTTTTAAACAAATGTATCTGTCAGTTTTATTCCTGTTAAATAGAAATTTCCATAATTAACTTTTTAATATGATGTTGACAAATGACTCTATATTCTTTTTTTGTTTTGTTTTGTTGTTGTGTTTAGTTTTGTTGTTGTTTTTTGTTTTGAGATGGAGTCTTGCTCTGTTGCCCAGGCTGGAGTGTGGTGGTGCAATCTCAGTTCACTGCAACCTCTGCCTCCCGGGTTCAAGTGATTCTTCTGCCTCAGCCTCTCGAGCAGCTGGGATTACAGGCACCTGCCACCACACCCGGCAAATTTTTGTATTTTTAGTAGAGATGGGGTTTCACCATGTTGGCCTGGCTGGTCTGGAACTCCTGACCTCAAGTAATCCGCCTGCCTCAGCCTCCCAAATTGTTGGGATTACAAACGTGAGCCACTGCGCCCGGCCCATATTCTTTATCACTTAAAGAAATGTTTTTTTTTATTTATAAACTTTTTGGTTTTGTTTTTGAACTGGAAATGTCGGTTAGAGTTTATCGATTTTTATGGCATTATGATAGATGATGCCATAGTTGTGATGGCCTGGTGTGATTTGTTTATATGATGCAAAACCATTGTCACATTCTAAGAGAAAAACCCCTGCTCTGTCATTGTGTGCTACTCTCTCAGAGTATTATTGAAATCAAGGCTATTATTTTATTGTCTTTATTAGTAGATATTCAGAAAGGAGATCATTCAGTGAGTAGAGATGTTGTTGACATAGGCGTTGGATGACATCATTCTTATTAAATTTGGTATAAAGGTTACACTGATCTGATAAACATACTGCTTATATGTTCCTGTTTTTCTATATCATATAACTTTTTAAAAATTTTTATTATTATTTTTTCGAGACAGAGTCTCACTTTGTCACCCAGACTGGAGTGTAGTGGCGTGATCTCAGCTCACTGCAACCTCCGTCTCCCAGGTTCAAGCGATTCTCCTGCCTCAGCCTCCCAAGTAGCTGGGATTATGGGCATGCACCACCATACTCGGCTAATTTTTGTATTTTTAGTAGAGACGGGGGTTCACCATGTTGGCCAGGCTGACCTGGAACACCTGATCTTAAGTGATCTGCCCACCTTACCTCCCAAAGTGCTGGGATTACAGGTGTGAGTCACTGTGCGAAGCCTACACTCTATAACTTTAAATAGTATAGCAGTGATTTGTTCCTGAAAAATTTGTTTTCATTCCTTTCATGCAGAGAAATTCTTTACGACTCTTTTATATTTTCTTTCAATAGGATTAGTCTTTTCAGATATTTTAATCTTTTTGAGTGAGTGTGCCATATACACTTTTTTCAAAGAATAGTCAATGTAGAGAAAATATTTTGTTATTGTCACATCATCACATATTATACTTCATTTCCCACTGCTTCCCCAGTGTCCATTAAGCTCCAAGTGCACTGGTTTCTCTGTATTTTCTAAGAGGCACCTAGGTGTTACTCTCTCTAGCTACCTCACTCCATGCTCTTCCCACTTCCTAGAATATGCCTCTCCCACTCTTCAAATCTTATAAGTTACTCTGGAAAAATATAGGTTTACATCATATTAAAATAGAACCTTAACATTCAAACTAGGAGATACTCAGTTTCGAATTCTCTTCCCCTACTCTTCAAAAGACTGTCTTTTATTTTCTTTGTTATACTTGCCATATCTTCTTTTTATGCTTATTTCTGTCTCCACTATCATGTTTTGTGTTTACACCTTCATGAGAGCAGTCATTTCAGCTTTTTCACCATTGTGATCTCTGGTTAACAAATTAATGAAGTCGATTTATTATTATTACTTTTCTTTTCCATAGATTTATTTTGATGTTCTTCAGGTGACTTTCGGATTAAAACTGTTTTCATCCTTGTAATTTTTTTTTTTCATTTTTATAAACTAAAGGAAAAAAAAGGCTATGGATTGTACTTTGATTGACTGTATCCCATGTCTATATTGTTTATCACTAATTTCTGAAGGCCTTCACATGATATGTAATCAATGATTCTTAAAGTAAAACATTTTGATTATTGATGATTTCTAATGAGTCTGCAGTTATAACTTGGAAGAGTTTTTAATATATCCATTATTTAAGAGAGATTTTCTACATTTCTGGTGCTTTAATTTCTTGTTGCTATTAATTATTAATTTGTAAAAGTTAATTGGCTTTTACAATTTCTGCCTTTTTGGATTTGTAGAATAATTTTTACAGCTCAGTGTATGATATTTATGAATATTCTGTGAATATTGAGTAAATTATATATTCTCCATAGGATAGCTTAGATATATATTTGTCAGATTTATTATATTTATCATTATTCTCTTTGAATGATATTATTCAAATATATTTTACTTAAATTTTTTTGGTCAAAGATTTTACTTCTCTTTGGCTCCTTTCAGTTTCCCTGTATATGTAAATTGTTTTCACTTTATTTGCATTACTTTTTATGAGACACAGGTGTTTATGATCCTTATGCCTATATAGTAAATTTTTTAAGGGCCATTAAAAAAGTATGTGCGTTTTATGTATAATTCTAATAAACAGCATATGGTTGAATTTCCTTTTTAAATGAAATATTAGCCTATTAATAGTGAATTTTACCTTTTAGTTATGAACATTTTGATGTATTGGATTTTATTTCTTCATCCAGTTTCATTTTTTAAATAACTATTTAATAATTGTTGAATAACTATTAATATTATTATTGCTAAGTGAGATAAGATATCTTTTTGTCTTTCAAATATATTTGACAACATACCGACATAACCTTGAAGTTTAATTTTAAAGCAAATCAGCATAGTTTTAATGTAAATACACAGCATGGTGTGAAAAATAATATATATGTTTTACATTATAATATAATGTAGAAATAATTAGAAAACTAATTATTTTAATTTTTGTTACTGAAATTCAGGCCTATTATCACAATGGAAAATATTCTGGAGAACCAGTTATTTTACATGAATCAACATCTTGTAAGTTATCACTGGGCTATTTATTATATGTATTAAGATATATATAAATGCTTATTTTACACTTATAATCACATTTGATTGTTAAATGCTTCAATTATGTCTTTTCCATAAATATGATATTTTTAATTGTCAGTAAAACCATATATATATAGGCTAAATATATTAAAATACAATATCTTAAATTCAAGTTAGGAGATCCAATTATTAAAGGATTGTTGAATTTATAAGAGGATTTATATACCCAAACTATTAAATTATGATTATGTTTATGAAATATCATTATGTTAGTAACATTTTTTGCATACTATTTTAGATTATTTGTTTATTTTATTGTCTCTTTAGCATATGCTTAGCAGAAGTGGGCCTTCAATATGAGTCTGTCCTGATTTACCTAATGGAAGCTATGATAAGCCCTCCCTAATAACAATATAGTTATGTAAATGTTTATCATTGATATTTAAAATATTTTAATCAAATTAAAAGTGTACATGAAAAAATTACTTATGATTAAATTTCATTATAATAATGAAAATAACAGCTGCATGTTACTTTCCCCACCCACGATTCTGTTTGCCAGGCAACCACTTTTAACCATTTCTACTTTTGGGTCTCCTTATGGTTTCCTTCATATTTATATATACATGCACACACACACATATATACACACACACACACATATATACACATATATACATATATATGTAAAAGCAATATTGTATACTGCTCTTTCTAGAGTTACTAACATTACCAATTGATCTGAGCCTATGGAGGAAGGAGACCTAGTATGCTATTTTGGGCTTTTTCTACCGGTTAACATTGTAAATAGAACTATTTAAACTGTATGTACTTTGTTGTCAGCAACTTCTAGGTCTTTCTATCTTTGCCACTTCTAGGTCTTCCTCTCTTACATACATATGCATGTGCAGAGTCACTGATATGAATGCAAAGTCAAAAGAGAAAATATAAAAACAGCTTATTTTCCAAACTGCTTTACTAAGCCCTCTGTAAAGTTGTAGTTCTTTCTGCTCAGATTTATGAAACAAAACCTCTTTGTGTTAAATGTCAAAAAAAAAATCCAGCAATATAGCTTTGATTTTATCTCCACATTACCTTTTTCTTTTATAACATCTTTATAATAAAAATGACTTCATGGAATCTTTCCTATTAAATTGTAAATAATTTATAGCGGTCATAGACTCAGCTGAACATCTCACACTCACATCTTAATAGGCCAGATCTGAAACTATTTCACTTGGGAAGACACAGAACAGAAAGCACAGCATGCTAGCCAGGGAGCCTGGCAGTGGGAATCCTTGCAGCAGGAACCCTTGCAGCAGTGCACGCAGTAATCCAGCTACTTTTCTTATGACACTCTCAAAGACAACTGAGATATGAGAGAATGAGACCACATGTGTAGGTGTAGGAGCTGCATTCCAAAAGGAATCGTATTTCTTATACTATTTCCATGGGCATAGCTTCCAGACATGCCGACAGGGGAGGGTGTGCTCAGTTATGAGCGAGCACTGCACTCAGGGAAACACAAAGCTAGTACTTCCCATGAGGACAATAGAGTTCATATATAGCACTCCCTGTTCAGGTGTAATTTAGCAATCAAGGGTCATTTTGCCATTAGCAATGTTGTCTGGTAACCAGCTAATATTCCACTTTTATCAGGTTTCCAGGTCAATGGAGCCAAAAAATTAGCCCACATCCTTTTTCCACAAAGGAGACAACATTGTATTCACTCTCCGCTCACAATATCATTACCCTAAGAGATAAATAATATAGTTACTTTGAAAATAGTGATATCTATTCCAGGAAAGGACTTGGTTTGTGAATTGCTAGGGTACAGCTACTAGAGATGTGTTGTTGGGATTCCCCAGCGTAACATTCCACCACCCATATTTTGATGTCATTGTCAATTGAACTCCTGGGGACCCTTTCTTCTTCTTCTGATCTGGACTCTCACACCCCATCTTAAAATATTCCTCCATCAGTTTTCTGGTTTAGATTTGCTGTATCACACATTTTTTTTTCCTTCTGATTTCACTAACATATGTACTCTAGTATAAGAAAAAAGTATTCCAATTCTCCCATACATAAAAATATCTTTATTCTACTCTGGCACTTGTTCAGTGTGTCGAGTAGATATAAAATTCTAAGCTAAAAATTTTAGAATTTAAAAATTATTTCTGTCTTATTTTCCTGAATCCAATTTTACTTTCTAATTTCATCCTGATTCTCCCTCTCCCTCTCTCTCTCTCTATATATATATATACACACACACACACACATATTATATATATACACACACACACACATATATATCTTTATTTATTTATTTATTTATTTTGGTCTGTTTCCAGGTTTTCCTCCCCTGGAAATATTAGGTTTCTCTGTTTATTCTTGGTCTTACCTGAATTTTTTGTTTGTTTGTTTTGCTTTGTTTTGTTTTTGTTTTTAGAGGGAGTTTTGCTCCATTCTTGTTGCCCAGGCTGGAGTGCAGTGGCACAATCTTGGCTCGCTGCAGTCTCTGCCTCCTGGGTTCAAGTGATGCTCCTGCTTCAGCTTCCCGAGTAGCTGGGATTACAGGCATTCACCACCATGCCTGGCTAATTTTTGTATTTTCAGTAGAGATGGGATTTCACCATGTTGGTCAGGCTAGTCTTGAACTCTTGATCTCAAATGATCCTCCTGCCTTGGCCTCCCAAAGTGCTGGGATTACAGGTGTGAATCCGGCCCTGAATCTTTTTCATCCATTTTTCTGGATGCTATTGACCTTTGTAACCTGAAGATTTATGTATCTGATATTCTTTGCTGCATTTTCTTCCCATAGTCTTTTGTCAAGTCTATTAGTCATAGAACTCATAAGTCGACTTATTATTTTGGCATTCCCCTTTGGTGTTGCTGGTTTCCTTAAGAGCTTGGTTCTTATTGGTAGTCTAGTCATAGTCACAGTGAGACAAAAGGAAAGGTTGATCAGATGTTCTGTGGTCCTTAGAAGATCTTGATGACTGAGGAGATTTCCTATGATATTGTTGATTTATTTTTTTCTGATATCATTCATTATCACCAACAATCAATTAATCTCCAGAAATTAATCTCCAGAATCACCCTACTCCTTGTCATAGGGTAAAGTGTGAAAAAGTGGTTCTTCTCACAGTAGGATGGGAAGATAGGTGTCCAACTATTGCATATGTGGACAATTACAGTGTCCTCCTAATTTTAGTCCTGCACCTCATCCCTTCTCTGTACTGGGTCTGACTTTATTCTGAGTCTCTCGCTGCTTTCATTTAATTTTCCTTCTGTCTTCTCCTCCCTGGTAGTATTTTTTCAAGAAGATATTTGTTGTTGTTGTTGTTGTTGTTGTAAATAGACATTTGACTTCCATGTTCTGACCCATGTTTCACATTTACTGCATATGTCACTTGCAAACCTGAGACTCAGGCATTCTGAGCAAATGGAATCTGTTCCTTTGATTTAGGCTGTGGCCTCCTTTCCTTTGTTTTCTACCTTCTACAACTTGTTGAAATTGCTCTACCTCTAATTTCCCTTCTCTCATTTTCTCTGTCATTATAGATCTACGACATTTTCAGTTCTTTAATATTAGCAGAGTTCCTGGAAAGAAGGGGGAAACACATGTGTGCTTAGAATGCAAGCTTTATCTGAAGACTGGCTATTTTATTATTAAGTTTATTGAGAAAAGTCTTATGCTGCTTAATATTTTTTATAACCTAATCTAATTCATTATTATGGATTGGAATGCTAACTTATAGTCACTTGCAGTTTCTTGCAAAATCTCACTTCAGAGTGTTCTAGAGGTTAGATGTTGCCTCTGATGAGGTTTTTATTCACAAAATCTGGAAACAATCATGCTGATTGATATATGTATACTAGTAATCACTGGTATGGATTGACAATTTCAGTGAAAAGAATTTGAGATAGAGATAAGACAAGGAACACTTTGGGTCATTTTAGGAGCCTATTGCAATAAGAACTTCTTGCCTAAAAATGTTCACTGCCATCCACCTATATATTCACGTTCATCTATCTATCCATCTTTATATATGCCAGCAGTATAAATACCCCTTTAAGGGAGATAACATTGTATATGAGGAAACTCAAGTTTGGATAATTTAATCTATTTGCTCTATGAGTCAAAGAAATGACAGAGCCTGAATTCAAGCTCAGGTTACAGTCTCTATCTGAAATTACTTTCAATATTCCTATTTGTATGAGTTCCCAGTTACAGAAATTTTGGTCATGAGATGAACTGTTTCTGGCAGCTGTTTGCTTGGTAGAGTCATTTCCATATTTCCAGTTGTGGAAGAACTGTCTCATGCTCAAGGCCTCCACTCACCATACATAAAATACGTCCCCTCTACTTCCTTATCACCCTACTTATTTTTTTCAGACTATATGAAAAAATACATAATTATTTCATTTGTTCACTTACCTTTCTTTTTTCTTTTCTTTTTTGACAGAGTCTTGCTCTGTCGCCCAGGTTGGAGTGCAGTGGTGCAATCTTGGCTCACTGCAACCTCTGCCTCCTGGGTTCAAGTAATTCTCATGTCTTAGCCTCCCAAGTAGTTGGCATTACAGACACACACCATGCCTGGCTAATTTTTTTGTATATTTAGTAGAGATGAGGTTTCACCGTGTTGGCCAGGCCGCTCTGAAACTCCTGGCCTCAAGTGATCCACCCACCTCAGCCTCCCAAAGTGCTGGGGTTACAGGGGTAAGCCACTGTGCCTGTCTGTTCAGTTACCTTTCTGGTGTCTGTTTCCCCCAAAGAGAATGCAAATTTCCTGAAAACTAATATTTTTTTCTGCCTTATATTCTGTAGCATTTCCACAGACTGTCTTCCTTCTTATCTTTACAGTCCTTCTTATCTTCTAACCTACTTGACCATTTACTTATTTCTTCTGTTTATTATTAATTATCTATTTTTCTTCACTAGAGAGTAAGTTCTATGAGAACAGGACTCTTGTTTTTCTTTTTGTAGATATCCTAAGTGCCTAGAGCTGAATTTGGCAGATGACCAAAGGCCAAAAATATTTTTTGTGAATAGTGAATAATTAGTGCTTACTATGTCCCAGCCACCGTGCTACGTGTTTACTGTAAATCAACACCTTTAGTCACATTTTAGGATTTTGGGAAAGGAGGGACAAAGATAATAAGAAATCTGGCCAAGTTCCCAACTAAGAAGTGGTAGAGCTAGGGTTGGAAGCTAAGCAGTCTGGCTCTGGAGCTGAGGCTCTCAAGTCACCGCATTATTTTGCTGCATTTTCACTACATAAGAAAAGGTGAATATACTGGAGATATTTCCAACACAACCTCTCTTCTATGCCCTTTCCTTAGGAAAAGGCAGGATTTCACATTAAACTTAGTGAATATTTAAGTCAGGGTAAGTCTTATCCTAACTACAGAATGAAACCATTTTTGTCTCTTGAATTGATTTTACACCTCAATGAACAGGTAAGAGGGTTTATCTTTGTGAAGTAGAAGTCTTTCTCATCCCCTTAAGAGACTACCCTCTTCTGCATACGAAGTTAAACTATATGAGTTTGTCTCCAAAAATTATAATAACTGGATTACCTCCTTGATCCCTTCAAAATGAAGTGTCTGGAAAAAAGAGAATTAAATTTAAATGTGTCTTATAAAAGAACTTCATTTAATCAAGAGAAAGAGAATTGTTCTTCTCTTCTTACTCTCCTTAAATATAAAATGTTTTTATTGGTTCTAAACAATATGGCCAAAGTCACAGAATTAGAACTTTATTGTATTTGACCTTATTCTAAAATGTTTATTTTTTCAAACCTCACAATAAATTGAAAAATATTAAAATGTAAATACTTTGGAGGTGATTATTCAACCAGTCTAGCAAGTTGTTTGACAATGGTTCTCTGAATGTATTATTTTTCATTTCTAGATAATTCTAAGGCACTGATAGCATTTCTGGCATTTCTGATTATTGTGACATCAATAGCCCTACTTGTTGTTCTCTATAAAATCTATGATCTACATAAGAAAAGATCCTGGTAAGAGCTGATTATGAATTTTCAAATAATAATGGTAGTGGTAATGGTGCAAACGCATATCCATATGACAGTGAGGGAACCAGTTAAATGAAATATGTGAACTAGAGAGAAGACAGCATAAAGCCCACTTCATGACAGAACTTTTAATCAAAAACTTTTAGTGTGGTTTTATTGGTTTGAATTAAACATTAATATTATTTTCTTAATTTACTAATAATATTGTGGACTTGTTTATTAGTAACCAGTGAAAAGAACGTGTGTGTTTTTTAGTACAAGGTGGGTCAGAGGGATCTAGGAGTGACAAAAGCAAAAGAAAGGAGGGAGATGTCTGGGGAAGTTAATGTGTTTTGTTGGCCAGAAACAACCACATCTTATGAAAAACAGAAGATTTAAAATAAAATCATTTGGCTACTTATGTGAGTTTAGCAGACAAGTCTTGGTTGTTTCTTTTCCTCCCTCACCCTCCTCTCTCCTCTCTGACTCTCCTCTCTCCCATCCTTCTGTCCTGCCTTTGCTCCAGGCTCTCTTCCTGCCTTCCCTCCTTTCCTCTTCTCCTTTCCTCTCTTCTCCTTTCCTCTCTTCTCCTTTTCTTCTCCCTGACTTCCTTCCTTTCCCTTCAATGTATTCATTAAATATAAGTTAAATACCAACTGAATTCTGTGCTTCTTGAGAATATAGAAACTTATTTTTTCTATTTTCACAGCAATTTGGATGAACAACAGGAGCTTGTTGAAAGGGGTAAGTATGCATATTTTTTGCTGATGAATATTCCTTCCCCTGCATTTGAATCCATTCATTTTATTTCATTTATTTATTTATATGTATTTTAAGACAGAGTCTCATTCTGTCGCCCAGGCTGAAGTGTGGTGGTGTAATCTCTGCTTACTGCAGCTTCCGCCTCCAGGTTCAAGCAATTCTCTTGTGCCTCAGCTTCCCAAGTATCTGGGATTACAGACACAAAGCACCAGGCCCAGCTAATTTTTGTATTTTTAGTAGAGATGGGATATCACCATGTTGCCCAGACTGGTTTCGAACTCCTGACCTCAAGTAATCCGCCCACCTTGGCCTCCCAAAGTGCTGGGATTACAGGCATGAACCACTGCGCCCAGTCCCATTCATTTTAAATAAGAACCGGGCATTTTTAATTTAACTTGGACTTCTGTTGATACAGTGATAAAACTTAAATTCCTTTACTCACTCAGCACCTGTGAAGTTCCCAGTGTACGCCAAGCATTGTGCCAGGTACTGAGAGTACTACAGTGACAGGCACAGACTCTGCCCTTAAAGGGTTCGTAATCTAATAGAGGAAAGCAGATATATCAACAAATACGACGGTAATTTGATACATGCCCTAGTAGTTGAATGTGTATGATTCTATACATATATAGAAGATAGAAAACTGTGTGCGAGGGCGGAAATCTGGTCTGTTAAGATTGTGGGGAACCAATGGACCAACAAATTAGGGAGTGGTGGAGGGAAGAGTGGATGAAAGTCACAGAGATGGGGAGATGGTACATCTCCTCAAGTCCCTGACAGGGTGGAATGCTGGCTGCTCCCAGCATTTGTCCATAAATAAAGACGCATTTATGGACAGCAATAAAGAACAGCAATTTTACTTAGGAGAAGAAAACAAATTTGTTTATCTTTTTTTTCGACATTTATATTATTTAATTTTTTAAAAATGTGATTTCTAATCCAATAAAAAGGGACAAAGTTGAACCTTTGCAGAAATTGAACTTTTGTTTACAATAAAGAAATTTACTTGCTTTCTCATGCTTAAGACAGGAATAATTTCAGAAGTCCTTTGTCTGTGTTAATCTATGTTAGAAGTGTTTCCCTCTGGTAATAGCAGGTACCAGGTCTCTATGCAGAAACTTTAGGGTTGAATCTTTTGTGCTCCTTAAAAGGCTTTATTTTTATTTGCAGAATGTAACACTATCTGATCCCTTATTACATATTTATTCATTTGGTTGTTGATTATACTCCCCTAACTAGAATGTAAGCTTTGTGAAAGCATGGAGGCTTTTTTTCTTATTCACTGCTTTATGCCCAGTACCAAAGTGAGTACCTAGGATTTGATAATTATTAGTGAATAAATAACACTGAGATAGGGTATCCTGAGGATTCATTTTCATAAACTGAGGGAGGAATGAAGAGAGCAATCAGTAATAAACACCTGAGCAGAAAAGGAAAATCCATCTCAAGGAGTTAAGGTGGACTTGGAAAGTGTCAATGAAATATTTTATCTCAAAATTGATACTGATTGCACCTTGGAATGCAGTAGAATTTACTCATTCAGACCCCATGAAACCCGGAATGTGGCCCTCAGTTCAGAATGAATGAATACCGGGCATTCCCAACAACCTAAAGAAACAATTGCATATAGCCAGTTTGATAGCTGTGATTGGATAGAAAGTTTCCATGGGCAGTAAGATAAATGGGTGGCCCTCATGGATACCTTTTTTCTTTATCTGATAAATGGGTAAAATTAATATGATTATTGAAAGAAATACTATCTGTAGTGCATGGAAGAGTAGGAGAAACATACTTTTTACATATGTGACAGATTAAATTCTCTTACCTTTCTAAAGGGTTTGGTTTTCAAGTTCCATATGCAATTATAGCTTTTTATGGTTAGTATACTTTTTTACTATTTAGTAAGTTATTTCACAAACATAGTATATAATGTGTTTCATGTACTTGAAGCAAAACGAATTAACACAACTGTTTCACCGTTTAGTGTAAACAGATGATCAAATTAAGCTGTGTCATGGGTATAAGGGTATTAATCATATTGTCTTATTTCATTTGCATGTTTACAGCATTTTACAAGTTGAAAATGAAAACAATACAAAGAAAAATAATAATTGTATTATAAATAAATAAGTATGGCAATTGCTATAAAATGCATATTATCAAACAAATGTGAATGTCCTTATAATGGTGATGTTTAGTCTGGCATCCCTTCTCTAAGCATAGAAAATGGGGAAGAACATTCTGGTAGAGGGAACAATATAAAGCCCGGAAGAGATCTGAAGTACAAGATTGAGCAGTCATTGATTTGTAGGTAAATGTTTGGATGTGTGTGAGATTTCTCAGATGAAATGTATACGAAGAGGAAAGAAGCTAAAGGATTGAGTACACGGTGTAAATTTAATGAAATGTGTATGCCCACCTGAAAGACACATATAACTAGTACTGAATCTTTAATATGTTTCCAGATGATGAAAAACAACTGATGAATGTGGAGCCAATCCATGCAGATATTTTGTTGGAAACTTATAAGAGGAAGATTGCTGATGAAGGAAGACTTTTTCTGGCTGAATTTCAGGTGTGTGTTGCTTTTGTTATATGATAAATTCAACATCAAGACAATTCCACTTTACATGTATTTATATTGCAATTTACCTTCATAATTTATCCCACTTGATATTGCAACATAAGCAAAATAGATATTATTAGCAGATATGTATGAACCAGAAGGAGACTCATAGAGGTTGACGAGATTATAGTGTGGAGCTAGTAAATATTTCAATGTAATGCTTTATTGTATTATGAAGTTGTGTCACAGAATGTATTTGGCTGATTTTGTAGTTGTACTCTAGGTACTCATCCAAGTATCTGTTTTTAAATGAATTTGATAGTGACACAACAACTAATCCTAAATTTGTCCCTACTCAAGAGATTTGTTCTGAAAGTTGTCAATCATTATTTTTTTTTAAAAAAAGTGATTTTATTTTTACATAATTCCTGATCTTAATTTCAATTACTCTAAGCAAATTTTTTTAGCAATATGAGGAAAATGTTTTACAGGATATCTCATTTGCTCAAAACGATCATTTTTCCTGAATCTTCTGTGATCCAAGAAATCATTGTTTCTTTCAGAGCATCCCGCGGGTGTTCAGCAAGTTTCCTATAAAGGAAGCTCGAAAGCCCTTTAACCAGAATAAAAACCGTTATGTTGACATTCTTCCTTGTGAGTACTTACTGAGTATTGAATTCTCATATATTTAGGCCACTTGATTATTCATTATTTCACTTGTTTATTTTTCTTTTCCTTAAACAGATGATTATAACCGTGTTGAACTCTCTGAGATAAATGGAGATGCAGGGTCAAACTACATAAATGCCAGCTATATTGATGTGAGTAAAAATTTGCATTTTTCCTTTTTTTTTTTTTTTTTTTTTTTT